ATGACATAATACTAACCTTTTAAAACATGCTCCCTTTCTACTCAATCTGCGACCAGATAGGGGCAAACGTTTATTTTTGTTTGCACCCATTATACACTATATATTTAATAAATATAAAAATATTACTTTTAAAATATCACAGTATGTCTATCTATCACAATATTCGACACGTTATCACACGTTATAACGGTCGAGTCGCGCACTGCGTGTAAGCACGTATAGTACGTACCGCGTGACAAGTGAACCATCCCGCGCAAATATATGTCATTGCGCGCACACGATTTTGTTTACAAATATGTATATATAGGGTGTCTACATGCTACATTTTTAGCATGTACCCAATTTTTGTTATTTTTCGTAAAATTATAATTACACAATTATTTAATATAATTATATATAAAAAATTTTTCCCGCGTTGTATGTGTCGTAAGGAGATATATGTATAATTGATCGTTTGCATTGAATGTCACTATTTTCTGAAAAGTAAAAAAAGAGAGCTCTCTCTCTCTCTCTCTCTTTCTTGATCCTTTATGCTTATTGTTAGTATTCTATCAATTAGTAATCAATGCAATCAATCATATCGTTTTACGGCAACAGCCAGTTACTCGTTCACTCACTCATTCATTCTTTTAAAATATGTCCATTTTTATACATAATTATGTAAATTTATATATAAAAAATAAGGGTGCATATATAATCATGTCAAATTTGTATATAAAACATATATATTTATATACATAAAGAAATACTTATTTATTACACTTGTATATATATATATATATATGTCGTGCGTATATAACGGGGACAGAATTTCAAGCGTATGCATACTTTGAGGACATTTGTATACTTTGGGGACAGGCCTCAAACTAATCACATATCAAACGTATGGTTTGGGGACAATCTCCCATATGTCCAGCGTATATTTTGGGACACTCTTTTTTTAATTGCAAACTATATTAGATAAATTCCCAAACTCAGGATAATTGTCATTTTTGAAAATAAAACAATATTTTGGATATTAAAGCATTTTTTATACTCAACGTTTACTTTGAGGACTCATAAATGAAATGTATATTTCGAGGACATGCTCTCATATGTTCAGCGTATATTTCGAGGACATGTCCTCATATGTCCAGCGTATATTTTGGGACACCCTATTTTTTCAATTGCAAACCATATTAGATAAACTCCCAAAGTTTAGATAATTGTCATTTTTAAAAATAAAACAATATTTTGGGTGTTAAAGCATTTTTTATAGTTAACGTTTACTCTGAGGACTCATAAATGAAATGTATATTACGAGGACATGCTCTCATATGTTCAGCGTATATTTCGAGGACATGTCCTCATATGTCCAGCGTATATTTTGGGACACCCTATTTTTTCAATTGCAAACCATATTAGATAAACTCCCAAAGTTTAGATAATTGTCATTTTTAAAAATAAAACAATATTTTGGGTGTTAAAGCATTTTTTATACTCAACGTTTACTCTGAGGACTCATAAATGAAATGTATATTTCGAGAACATGTCCTCGAATTATACTTTAAATATATTATTCAGCGGTGTCTCGAAATAATACATTCATTTATGTAGTTTATATATTGTGAGTTTACTTCGAGGTCATCTTTTATATAATTTATTTACTCTGAGAACTCAAATGAAATGTATATTTCGAGGACATGTCTTCGAATTATACTTTAAATATATTATTTAGCGGTGTCCCGAAATAATACAACTGCCCGACTCGCGTTAAGATACACGGTGTCTCGTCGGCTACGCCCTTAACTGGTCGTGAGACACTACCGTGTCTCTTGATTCATTTATGTAGTTTATATATTGTGAACTTACTTCGAGGTCATCTTTTATTATAATTTATCTGGTCCGTTCCGTATACTTTGAAGACTTGTAAAATATAATTAGAAACTATACTTTAGAGAGATCAAATATGATGTAAAATTTATAGTTTGAATACATATACGTAGTTTTTGAAAATTTCAAACCTTAATAAAATGTATTTTTCTAGGATATAAGAAGCCTTCAAATTATACTTTTAATATATTATTTGGCAATTAAAATAAGGTGTCCCGAAATAATACTTTCAAATTTTACATAGTTTATATAATCAGAATACACAATTCACAATATTTACATTTAACTCAGGGTTGGGACCGTCACTCTGAAAAAGTAACACATTACTGTTACAATTACTTATTGTAAAAAGTAACTTATTACCGTTATTCGTTATTAATTTTAAAAAGTAACGCGTTACCGTTATTATTACTTAGAAAGTAACGATTCGTTATTTTTTCGTTACTTTTTGTTACGTTTTCATTTTTTGTAATGCTAAAAAGTAAGCTATTGGATTTTAAAATTCTCTTACTTAATAATCTATATTAAATATAATAATATATGTTACAATTAAAAACTCTGAATTAGTCTTTGGCAAATGTATATAGCATATATAGTAAGATAATAAGGAATTAAAAAGTAACTAACCACTAATTCGTTACCGTTACTATAAAAATGTAACGACGTCTTATATCGTTACCGTGACAAACAAATAAATTTGTAATAATTATTAATTAAGTTATTAATTAAAATATTTAAGCGAATAAGCGAGTGGAAAGCGATAGACCGAAATCGGTGAGCATGTAGGGCTTATTTGTTTACGTCGCTTAATAACAAAAGTATCATCTTACTTTTCGGCGCGGCGGCATTGCTCGCCGCTCGCTGCATGACTCTGCCTCTCGATCAGATAATGCTTTTGTTACTAAAAGACGTAAATGAATAAGTCATCGTACATGCCCACCGATTCTGGCCTACCGCTTTCTACCCACTCATTCGCTAGATATTTTTATTAATAACTCAATAATTATTGCAAGTTTAGCGAAATGATACAGGACTTTTCTATTCAGTTTAACATGCTGTACCCGTTCACGAAAGATAGTTCGCGAATTATGGGATACCCTGTATATTTACGTTTCTCATCCGAAATTACTCGTTGACGCACGAATTTCGTGTTGCCTTCCTGCAATTTCTGTCCTTTTTATTAAGGTCTTAAAATTTCGTATATCTAACAATAAATTTGTATATTGTATATGGTCGATTAAGAAATTAAGCACATGAAACAACGCCGAATACTCGAGCCTCGAGCAATACACGGAATTATTCTTTTTCTTTTCAGCGGTCCGTTCTGTTTTCTCTATCAGTCTCATGTACATGTCCTACATATCTCATCCCCATCTCTCTCTCTCTCTCTCTCTCTCTCTCTCTCTCTCTCTCTCTAATGACAATTGAGATAAAATTCTTTATAACTTTAAAGACGTAAGAAACATTTATAAAGTATAATTTGAAGCCAGAAAATATAATAACTAAAATATAATTTGGAAATTATTTTTAACTAGATTTATACTTGTTTCTACTTTGGGAACAATGAGAATTTTCGGACATTTATAGAAAACTAATTCGATTTATATAACTTTAGAAACAAGTTAGATATATATTATTTATTTTATTTAGGAACATTTATATATTAAAATATTACATGTAAAAGAGTATATATCTTTTATATATGAACATTTGTAGGACTAAAAATGTCCTCCGTTTTGTACTTTTGCAATAAGTAAGGAGAAATTAATTTAAGAAGTCGGTCTATCCGCGCGAATAAAAGCGTACAGCGAAAAGAAACCGTTTACTACCTTGATACAAAGCGCACAGTGAAGCAATGGAAAAAGCACTCAGCTCGATATTCAATATGTTAATGTTTTCTCCGATTATAATAGAAAATTGATAATTGACCGTCAATCGTTCTATTTTTGACCTAGTTTAACCCGTTCTATTTCTATGACAAATAAAACGATTGATCTGGAACACCTTGTATAATATATAATAATAAGATTTATGAAATTAAATTAATTTCTACAATTATCAATTTTCTATTATAATCGGAGAAAACATTAACATATTGAATATCGAGCTGAGTGCTTTTTCCATTGCTTCACTGTGCGCTTTGTATCAAGTTAGTAAACGGTTTCTTTTCGCTGTACGCTTTTATTCGCGCGGATAGACCGACTTCTTAAATTAATTTCTCCTTATTTATTGCAAAAGTATAAAAAGAGGGACTTTTTTATTTAGTTTAATCCGTTCTATCTTTATGAAATTTTTAAATTATGATGAGCTTAAATGTTAATAATGTATCTTTTTTATAAATATAAGAAACAAAAATCTTATTTAATAAGCATGAAATTCGTACTTCCTTTCTTTTTAATTTCGACTATTTATTTGATTTAAATCGGTCAATATTTTTTGTCAATTGCTCTTAAGAAATGGAAAAACTAACTAGTATAACTAATGTCACAATAAAATTATTTTTACTATATTTTACAATAAAGTAAATAATTAAATTATAAATAATATAAATTAACAATAAGCAATTTTATAATATCATTTATTATATGTTATAATATAATAAATAATATTATAAAATAAAAGAAATATATAATATTTATTAGCATTTATTATATTTATAATATATTATATTTTATATTATCATATTTTGTTTTCTTCTAAATAAAATATCATTTCGATAATCATTAAAAAGTTATCGAGATATATACACCAGCATGTATAGTGTCCATCATGTATATGTATGTGAAACAATCGTACACTGGCGAATCCGAAACATAAACAGTTGAAAACGTGAATACGTGAACGCTGTTTCTTATGCGCGTGATGGGTCGGCGACGCCGACTCGGCGTGAGCGGCAATTGTATCATTGCGGCGTTAGCATCCGAGCAATAAGGGTGTTCGGATCGTACGTTTAATCTTCGCTTGGCTTTTATTTCGATCAGATTGAATTTATTCTTGCAATAAGAAGTTTGTTTGAAGAAAAATATTATTGTGGGTAAATATTACAATCATACTTATTGTGTTATTTTTATTTTTAAAAAGTTAATATAAAAATGAGACTTTTTCAGATGATTAATAAGGTTATTGACATTTAATAAGTTTATTAGTTGAGTAATAACGTTTATCATCAATATTTCACAAGGTATGTAAAATTGATGGACTTTATTTTTAATAATCTTTTAAATTAAAGCTATCGAATTATTTGATGAGAATTTTTTTAAATAAATTTAAATGATTTGATGAAGCAGAATATTTTACTCAAACATTATATGTTTTAAATTGATTATTTATATTTAATGTATAATATACAGGGTGTCCATTTTAATTACCCATCTTAAATATTTTGTTAATATTTGTGAAAAATGTTTCAGACAAAGTAATATTGTTTAGTTCTGAGGCCATAAAAAGCTATTGCTTGTTTGATATTGTTATGTTTGACTTTATTTAACAAAAGACATGTTACACTGGAACCGATTTGATTTTCCTTAAAATATATTGTTAAACACTAAAATCTAAAAGACACGTATTTTTTTATACATAGTTAAATTTGAAAAAAATAGAACAAATAAATTAAATTAAATTAAACTATAAAATAAAATAAAATTTTGAAAAAATCATAGATGGTTTTTTGAAAAAAAAAGAAATAGATAGAATTATGTGTTATAACTTTAAAGTATTCTGCAAATAGTTAAATTTTTGTTTAACATTTTATTTATAGTTTCAGTTATATTCGATTCTAAAAGAAAACATCGATTTTTTTTAACTTTCGACATGTAAACAGTTGACACGTGAACACTGTTCTTTATGCGTGTGATGAGCGGCTATCGTATCATTGCGGCGTAAGCAAAGGAATGTTTAATTTTTTAAACATGAAAATCCGCTCGTATAGAAATACGTGTCTTTTAAACTTTTATATTTATTTTATCATATTTTAAGGAAAATCAAATCGATTTCTGACAGTTGTGACATGTCCTTTGTTAGATAAAGATATTAAGATTATGTCAAAGTTATTATGGTTAATTCATGAATTTCTCGGCGAACAAGGATTTGTAATTAATATATTTCAAAATCATCTCGATGTCAACTATATGGATACGCCATAAAAAATTTATGATCCTATTAAAAAAATTTAAATGATCTTAACGCCTTCACTCAAGATTAAACAAACAAGCAGTTTTTATAGTTCCTTCAGAATCAAGCAAATTTTGTCTAAAATATTTTCTAAGAAAATGTGTCATTTGCGAGATATTTGAGATAGGCAATTATAAAATATATATATATATATAGGGTACACAATATATTTTTTTGAATATTTTTGTTTAATTCCAATATATCTTTCTCGTGTGCTTGAATATTTAGATCAGTTAATTTTTTGCTGTTTTAATAATAATTAAAATTTCATATAATAATAACACAAATAATTAATAAATCTAATTTAAATTTAAATTTGAATTTTAGAATATAGATTTATTTTAATTTTAGATTATTATTTTTCGAGATCAAACATCACTGTAAAATCATTAATTAAATATACCTAATTTGTCTTAATTTGCCTTAATTTGTTTAGATCATTGTTTCTAATTTTCCTCACTTGTATAATTTATTAATTTTTTAAGGATGTTTTCTCTTGTACAATTTGATAATGGTGAATATTCCATTCTACCATCCAAACGAGTAAAGATCGTTCAAGGAAAAGATTGCATTATTAAATATACTGGAGGTGGGAAGTACAGTGCTGATTTAATAGATTCTTCTGGTATGAAAAGTTATTATAAATTTATATGATTTTGAATAATTATAACAATAATTTAAAAATTTTTGAATGCAATGAAATAATTTTTAACTAGTTGTTTACTCATTATTAACTTAATATTATTATTTAAAATTTAATATTATATATTGACAGATTAATTAAATAATAACACATGCAATAAATTGATTTATTTATTATTAAAAGTTTCTAAATATTTAAAAAATTTCTTTTTGTTAGCTATAATAAAATTATACCTTTTTTATTTATTCGAGTTTTACTTTTTTATGTATATAATATATATAATAAGTATAATAATTTTAATATTTATTAAAAATTTTTAAAAATTTTAGATATTCAGGATAATTTAATTGATCTGAAAACAAAACTGGAACAAAATGAAAACTTGATTAATAAGGAAAATTCTTCTCACTTATCAAATAGAAAGAGTAATCACTCATCTGATTCTTCGCAAAGGGCAAATCAAATCTTCAAATAAAAGAAATGGGATTTTCTACGCCATTAAATAATAACTCACCAACTGTTCCGAATTTAGAAATATCAAATATTTCTTTAAATAATCCTGCCCACCGTTTTGAGTAATACTAATACGGAATTAGAAAGTAGTTCTCCCGAAGTGATTCACAGACAAATTGGAG